CCTAGAAGATGGACCTGAACTAGTGTCCAGTCTACAAAGAGGAGGATCAACACAGAGGAAACATTTCCTCCATGCTTCCAAGCAAAACCCAGGTAAAGCAGGGTCTCTTGGCTTATCTTCACGTAGATGGAACTGGTAAAGAAAAGCCTGAGGAGCCAGCCCCCTCGCAAAGCCCATGTGACCCCTGAGGAACAGATCCTCATATGACCTTAAAAGTAATAATAAATTGGTTTATTTGGGCCAACTGTATGACCTTAAACACCCAAGGGGAGAGTGTAACCAAAGATTAAAGTCATCAGTATATTTCTTTAAGAAGTCAAGGGATTACACATTCCAGACATTAGACTTAAGTTCTTATAAGATGTTATTTAGACAATTATTTCTCATTGGTGATTTTGTTCCTAACAGGACAGTGCTACTTCGGTGTAGGGCGTTAAATCTTAGTCTACAATACTGTAGTACCCACCTGCAGCTTAGGGAAACAACTCACTATTGTTCTAAAACGATGGCTAAGTTTGTTTTCTCTCCCTATCTAGAGGCCATTTTAAGAGGGAGCTGATTCTAGCCACTCCAACAGTTATCAACGTGCCTGACAACAAATCCTGAGTTCATCAATCATCAGTCCAGCCTTGGCAGACAAAAGAAAAATGATGAGAAACCTGTTAGATGGATGCTTTTGGGAGCCCTCATCAAGAAATTCCAATGGACTTTAATTTGGACATTTTCTGGTTCCCTGCCTAGAAATTGTAATACTAACTACTCTTGCCTTACTCTTACCTTTACTTTTCCTTCACATCTCCCAGGCACCAGTCAAGCACCTTCCTTTTCTCCCTATAGTTAAGAGTTATGCAATTTGGGAGTCTTTTAGATAGACCCACTGAAGGGATAATCCCAATTGCCTCACCCTGCATCCCTGTTCATCATGGAAGAAGCCAGAGTGGTCTGTGTCCCAATTCCCTACTGGCACTTTGGGTAACCCCTTCAGAGGGTGGCGTGATAAAAATAAGAGGTAGGAACTCGCTAGGCAGTTAGGGCAAAAAGACCCCAAAGAAAAGTAGCCAGTTTCTTTCTTGGCTAAAAGTCAAAATATCCTTCGGCCTTTTAACAAAGTACTCTGTCCCAAAGGCCAAAAACATTAAAAGTATTTGGGAGCTCTTATCCCAAAAAGATTTTGGGGTTACCTCTTCAGAGGGGGGAATGTTACAATATCAACAGTCCCCTGATTATGCTGTGCTATTTTGATGCTTGCTCCCTGTTTCATACAATTTCTTTACAAATTACCACCATTGCTAAAATTACTACCAATCAGATCATGGTCAATAATTAGACTTTAGATTTTCCTGAGATAGGTGAGTTGGCTCTTGAAGCTTGTGATGACATTTTTCCATTATAAAACAAAACCCTCCTTTCTTAGCAGGGGCCTCCTGCTCCCTGCCTGACTTATCTGGAAAGTGCCTCCAAACATGGATGCCTGACCTTATTTGGAACATGATCTTTGGCATAGTTACCAGCAATAAAACTGCCCCCAGGTTTTTTCTATATGATAATTAGGCAGTGCCCTATAGCCAGATGATAGGATCCCCCTACCACATGTAAATAAAGCATACTATGAGCACCTATCAGCTGAAGCTTTGGCTGCTGCCTCCACACTATATTTTCCCCTGATCCCCACTGAATAAATGGAGCTGTATCACTGAATCTGACTCCCTGGAAGGACTTTTCCATTGTGTTCACTGGCTGTTCTGACCCCGTTCATTCATCATTCCCTGTTCATCTGCTCCCTTTGTTCTCGTGGATCAGTGGCCAATGGCCCACAAGGGGAGGGAGAGACTCACACTTGTTGGCATGAACAAAGCCCTGGGTTCCATCCCTGGCACCACCACATAAAACCAAGTATAGTGGAGCACAACTATAATCCCAGTACTATGAAGATAGAGGCAGGAAGATCAGAAGCTCACGGTCATCCTCAGCCAGCTAGCAAGTTCAAGGCCTGCCTGGCTACACTGGTATAATGAAACATCTATTCATGTTTACAATACTCAGATATTTGCTTTTCAACTTTTAGCTCATGAGCTTTAACTCTTCCTTCAAATAGGGGAGGCTTTACAATCGGATGAACACTCTGCTATAGCACAAGCATGGACTTCAGCTGCATGTGAATCCTCCTTGCCTTAACAGCTACAATTCTGGGAAGATGCTCTCAATCCCTATGAACCTCAGTTTCCTCAGCTCTAAAATGAAGTTGATAACACATCTTCAAAAGCTCTTCAAAGAATAATATACAGGGGTAGGGAGATGGGTTAGTCAGTGAAGTGCTTGTGGAAGGACCTGAGTTTGATCCTAGAATCCATGTAAAGAAAGCTGGGCACAGGCTGTTGTCAGTGCTGGGGAGAGGACCCCAGGGGCTCACTGGTCAGCCAGCCTTGCCTCATTAGTGAGCTCCCTGCCAATGAGAGGCCCCATCTCAAAATATGGTAGATGATGCCTGAATAACAATATCTAAAGTTGTCCTCCAGCTTTCCCATGTAGCCACACACTCAAAAGAAGACAAAGTAATTATGTAAAGCACCAAAATAGAGCTAAACAGTGCTTTAAATTTTCAACTATTATCCTTTACCCCTTTTAATAAAGACTTCTCAAAGGACTGCACACAAAAACAATTATTTTTCCCTTTGAGACAGGATCTTACTGTACAGGAAAGGGGGACCTAAATCTCACCCTGCAGCCCAAGATAGCTTCAAACTTAGATTCTCCTGAGTCTCCCAAGTGCTGGGATTATAAACATGCACCTTTATGCCCTTCACAATGTAATTTCTAATAACATACATATGAAGAGGTTTAGGTTTGAAAATCTTTTGTTTTTTGAGACAGGGTCTCCCCATAGCCCCAGCTTATGTAGACCAGGCTGACCTTGATCTCACAGAGATCAACCTGCATGCTGGGATTACAGGTATGCACCATCACACCTGGCCCCCAAATAGTAATACTATGAGCAAAATATAATATACCTTAATAAGCAAAATAATATAAAAATGGTGACAGGAGATTCCAAACTATTAAAATGGTAACAACTACTTTCACTTAACTTTTCTTTACATTGTAATGAAAGTGCTCTTTTAAAGCTCCACAACAGCATCACCTACCTAGTAACGGAACAACACCAGAAGCTATGACATACGGTACACACAGGGAAAGCAGGAGCACAGAGATAACCGGAGCTGCCAGCTTACGGATGATATAGTGAAGGTCAATATTCCGAATGCCATTTGCGTAAACCTGAAACAGCGAGAGCAATGATGAGAAAGGGGCTAGGCAAGATGGCCCAGCAGGTAGAGGCACCTGTCACCAAGCCCAACAACACGAGTTTGATCCCCAGGATGCACACGGTAGAAGGGGAGAACTGACTCCCCAAAAGTTGTCCTCTGACCTCTACTGAGGTTCACATAAACTACCCCACACAAACCAACTAATAATTAAGTCAATAAAATGTGGAGGAAATGGCTAGAACCAAGATAGAAATACAAATTCCTCTACAGTTAATGGAGTCTAAGCCACAACGAACTCAATCTGTCAGCCCAAAAGGTTCAAATTGGTTCTTTTTCCCAGGGTAAGGCAAAGTTAAAGCACAATCTCAAGCCCTATACCCAAAGACGCTTTTCTTGTTTTTTTCTTTTTGGCTATACTGGGAATTGAGCCTAGAACTTCATGGGTGTTAGGAAAGTGCACAACTGAGCTACAGCCCCAGCCTTACCCAAAGGTTTGTAAAGGAAATCAAATACTATCCACAATTAACTCTAAATGCTAAGACAATCACCTAGAATTATAATTTCTACTAATCTTGTACTTTACAATAGCAGATAAAATCTCAGTAAAAATTGAATACTATGGGGCCTCAATGTATCTTCCCATGTACAGTGCTTTATACTATTACTCAAATTTGGGTTCATTTTAATCTTGATGCAACAAGATGTAAACAGAAAGTATATTTCAAAAGCCTCAAATGGTATTTTATGTTAAAAACAACATGAAAAAACTTTAAAATGAATAACTGTGTGCATGTACACAGGAGGCCAGACGTCAACCCTGGGTATTGCTCCTCAGGTGCTACCTACCTGGTTTGTGTGTTAGTTGGGTTTTTTCTTAAAACTTTCTAGACAGGGTCTTGCTATAGCCCCATCTGGACTGGAACTCGATGAAGTAGACCAAGATGGCTTCAATCTCACAGAGATCTGCCTGCCTCAGCTTCTGTCCTGTGAGTAAAGGTGTGAGCAACCACACCCAGCCCACCTTGTGTTTGGAGAGGGTCTCTCTTTGGTTTGGTGCTCACTGATTAGGCTAGCTGGCAAGCAAGCTCCAGGGATCCACATAACTTTGCCTGTTCGGCAATGGGGATCACAAGTTCATGTCACCAGGCCCAGCTTTGTTATGTGGATTTTGGAGCTCCAACTCAAGTCTCACACTTGCACAGCAAGACTGTACCAACTGAGCCTACAGTATTTTTTAGAATCCAAGAATTCCTAGCTTTTTCCATTTCCAATGCTACTAGATAGTACTACTAGATGATAGTACTACTAGATAGTACTACAGAAGAAAGAACAATGGAAGTGAGAAAACTTTGAAAAGGAAAAATACTGTTGGAAGCAGGGGCGGTAAGACAGACATTGTTTTCTTTTTCTTCTCCTGTGCCACACCCACAGCACATAAGCCTCTTAGAAGCCAAGGTACAGCACAACTCAATCCCATTATCCTAAGGTCCAAATAACAAACAGGCTGATGCCTCTGAAGGTTCCAACAAGCCAGCCCATACACAGACATTCCGGTGTTTCTTAGCCAGTCCTAGCCATCTTAATTCTCCTATTACCCTCCCTCCTCCTCACTCTGAAATAAATGAAACAGACTGTCCGACACTATGAAGACTGATAGTGTTTCTTAGTTCCCAGTAACAAATGAACCCTAATCTCCACAGTTCTTTGCAAGAGTCAGAGTCTTACTGGGAGACTGTAGAGGACTGGCTCACACTTCTATCATGAGGGATCTGCGGTTATGGGCACCCAACCAATCACACACTTAGTGGCCTTCTGAATAGCCATACTCGGCAGATGCACACAAACACGTAGCAGTTCCCCAGCCCCACTTTTGGTTCTAAGACTCAACAGGTACAAGACTTTCACTGACTGCTGTGCCTGCTGGGCTGGGAACTACTATATCATCAACAGGAGGTGGATCTTAACTGATACAGACCTGTAGGACCTTATTCATCTAGCAGTGTCCTAAGGAAGTATAAAGGACCTGAACTCTCCTTGAGTACACTGTCTAGATAACTAACTAGCAATTAAAGAAACAAGTAGTACAATCTTGAATGTAGGCTGTTTTGGACAGAAATCTTTCTGAAATGAAATATACTTCCTAGTCTCATCAGAGAACAAAAGCAGTCTACTTATCTCAAGGTTAGCACCATGCTGGTCAAATTATGTGATGGTTCCCTAATACAGCAAGAGTCTTAAATGCTATTTGATTAGAGTATTCTTAAACAACTGTATCCCCACAACCTCCCCCGTGCTTTTACTTATTACTTTGAGTGCTGTGGTAGTTTCAATGGAGTGTCCCCCACAGGTTTCAAGTATTTGAACACTTGGTCCCCAGCTCCTGGCAGTTTGGGGAGGGTCATGGAACCTTGAGGAGGTGTGGCCATGCCAGAGGAAGCATGCCACTGGAAGCAGGTTTTGAGAGTTCTTAAGCCTTGACAGGTTTCCAGTTTCCCTGCTCTTCTTCCTGCTCCTGATTAAAGATGTGAGTGGTCTGTTCTGGCCACCTCCTGCCATCATGCCTCCCCACCATTATGGACTCTCCCTCGAGAATCATAAGTCAAATAAGCCCTTTCTGTAAGGGGCCTTGGTCATGGTTTTGAAGTAAGTGATACAAATACTAACTTCCTATCATCTTAGAAATATGAATACTAAGTGTGCTGGATAGCTTTAGTCGTCAACTTGACACACCTGGGTTGAGGAAGCCTCAAATGGGGGGAACTGCCTCCACTGGACTGGCCTGTGGTCATGTCTGTGGGGTGTTTTCTTGATTGTTGCGTGATGTGGGAGGGCCCAGCCCACTGTGGGCAGTGCCACCCCTAGGCAGGTGGTCCTGTGTTATATAAGAAAGCAGGCTGAGCATGCACCAGGGGAGCAAGTCAGTAAGCAGTGCTTCTCCATGGCCTGTGCTCCAGCTCCTGCCTCCAGGTTCCTGCCCTGAGTTCCTACCTTGGGCTCCCTCATGATGAACTGTGACCCAGGAGATGTAAGACAAATAAACCCTTTCCTCCCCAAGTTGGTACTGGCCAGGGTGTTTTGTCACAGCAATGAAGGCAAACTAGAACACTAAGCTTGATCAAGACTCCTGCAATGGAAAAAGCACAATGATCACTTTTGCCTCTTTGTTGGACAAGGTTCTAGGTATTGTACTTTACTGATTAAGCTTCAGATGAGTTATGACTGATAAAAATTAACGATAATGTGGGAGACCTGAGTATGCCACTCTGAAGGCACCTCCTTGGTATCCATGAGGTCAGTAGTGATTTAAGCTGAAGGCAACTGGGAAGAAGTGCACATGGGACAGGACTCACAGGGTACCTTCAGACCCTCTTCTCTCCCCACCAGAAGCAGTACACAGAAGGCAGCCCATTCTTCTAACTCCTACTTAGGAAGATGAAGGCTCATCGTTAGAAACAACTTTAGTAATTTTAGGCCTAGAGGCAGTCAAAGCAAATGACACTAATGAACCTAAATAACCCCCAGGCTTTCTGGAACAGAGTCTTATGCAGCCTAAGCTGGCCTGAACTGTTATGTACCCAAGGATGACTGGGAAGACAAGCTCCTCCTGCTTTTACATCCAAAGTGCTCTGAATACAGGCATGCAGCTACACACAGCATCTAACTAGCCTTTAACTCCATTTTTCCTTTGCCCAATAGGCTGCCTGTACTTTCAAAACCCTTTTTCTTTGGCTTATCATTTATCTAAAATTGTGTTATTCTTGGGGCTAGAGAGATAGCTTAGTGGTTAAAAGCACTGTCTGTTCTTACAAAAATCCTAGGTTCAGTTCCCAGCACCCACATGGCAGCTAACAACTGTCTATAACCCCAGTTCCAGGGGACTCCTATGCCCTCTTCTGATCACCACAGGGACTGCACAACATGGTCCATTTACACACATGTGGGCAATACACTTATACATACAAAATAAAAAATATTTTTAAAATTTTGTTATTCTTTATTGAAAATATTAAATCAGCTGGAATTTAGAATTATCTTAACTGCCATAAAATGAGGGGGAAAAAAAATAAAAAACAAAAAACTTCCTCCTCTTTTAAAAAAACAAAAAACAAAAAACAAAGGCTGGCAAGATGGCTCTGGTGGTAAAAGACCTTGCCATGCAAGCCTGACCGCCTGAGTTCAACCCCCAGAACACAGTGGAAGAACTAACTCAAAAAAGTTTTCTTGACCTCGATAAGAGCACTGTGCACATTAAAGAAAACACAGAAAACTGAGAAAAGTAGAAACACGAAAACTAAAACTTCCATCAGTCAAATACGACCAAGGCTCATTTCAGACTATCCTGAAAAGTACCTTTTTCTTACCTGTTCAATCACAGTTTTCAGCCACCACTGAGGGCCCATCAGAGTTATAGCTGCGATGATTTTGGCATGCAGGACTCCCAGCGCCCAGTCCTAGAGGAATAAAGTGATTAACACACCTTTGTTGTGTGTGTATACAGAATATATATATATATATATAAAAAGATCAGTATATAAAAGCTTGAGTTGATGGGGCTGGAGAGATGGCTCAGTGGTTAAGAACATAGACTGTTCTTGCAGAAGACCTGGGTTCGGATTCCAGCACCCACATGACAGCTAACAACTGTCTATAACTCCAGTCCCAGGGGATCCGACAGCCTCTTCTGTCTTCCATGGGGTGCACGACACAGGTACACTTACCTACATGCATGCAATACATGCAAACACATAAAATAAAAATAAAAAATAAAATATTTTTAAACTGCTTTTAAAAAAAGCTCAAGTTGAATAAAATATTCTTGTATCTTTTAGAAATCTTCCTTATTTTCCCAAGATAATATGGAAAAGTCTTGACATTAATGGGGACCTCAATAAGCGAATTTGATTTTCGTTGAGCTAACTACGCGATAATGCTGAGGAGCCAAGTTTGGGTTGAAGAAATTCTTTCAAATGCTCATGACTTCAGCTGAGAGCACTGTGGTATTGCTGAACTATTATCAGAATCCCTACTGTGTTCTGTTCCCAGTGTCACAGAGACCAGGGTCCTCATGGTGCCCCTGCCTCCAACCTGTCTCCAACGTCTCTCCATCAATAACTGCCTCACCCTCCCCACCCCAACCAAGACATCTCATACAAGGTAAGTCAGATCTAGAAGGAGAAGTCCTCACTTAGAGCCCTAAAGACCTTAGCCTCACATGAAATGCCTCTCATAATCTTACCTCTTTTCTTTAAAAGAAATTTGTTTTATTATTATTTTTATTTTATGTGTATGCATGTATTGCCTGCATGTAGGTAAGTGCATTCATGTCGTGCAATGCCAATGGAGGTCAGAAGAGGCTGTCGGATCCCCTGGGACTGGAGTTACAGGCAGTTGTTAGCTGCCATGTGGGTGCCGGAATTCAAACCCGGGTCTTCTGCAAGAACAAACAGTGTTCTTAACTGCTGAGCCATCTCTCCAGCCCCCTAAAAGAAAAAATTTTAAGCACTTTTATTTATTTAGGAGAGGTGGGGGACATGACATATGCAAACCATGCATGGCATGCATGTGGAGGTCAGAGGACAACTTATGGGAGTCAGTTCTCTCCTTCTACATTGGGTCCCAGGGATCAAACTAAGCGAATACCAGCAGTATAATCGATAAAGTATTCCAAAAAAGGAATTTATATGACCTCAACTTTAAAAGCAAGAATAAAGGGCATTATTTCAACAACTTTACAAGGGTTTCTAGAATAGAAAATTTTAAGGAGTCTTCCTAAACCAACTGCATAAACTCACTTAATCATGAGTATTTTTTCTGACCCCAAATACTTAGCAAAATATCATGAGGAAAAGACATGCACTTACCTGCCAAGGATAAAAAAGAGGAGTCTGATCCAAAGGAACCCGCAGGGGAGCAACAATAACCAGCTCAAACAGGAGCCCCAAAAGCAGCGGGACGACCCCGGCCAGCAGCACAGCAACGATCAAAGTCTTCATTATCTATTGGGAAACGAGGGCACGGTGTCAAGGAGGGTCTTTCTGACTTTCAGACAAGCTCTACTCCACTTTTGGGCTTCCTCCCCCTCCAACTCATGTCTAACAGTACAACTATATTACTTTAAACAAGTTACATGCATTTTTGTGTTATTGTATGTTTAAGTAAAATTTTTCAATGTATGTGTGCACATGGGTGTGGGGGGCGGTGCACCTATGTGGAAGTACATGGGTGTGGAGGCCAGAGGACAAGTCAAATGGGATCTTCGGTCTCTCACTGGACTGGAGCTCACCAATTAAGCAAGACTGGTTGGCCAGTGAGCCCCAAGGCTCCTGTCTCTGCCTCTTCAATGCTGGGATTACAAGAGCACACCACCACACCCAGCATTTTTACACGGGTTCCTGGGGATGGAGTTGGGTTCTTATGCTTTGGAGATGAGAGCTTTAAAAACAGTCATTCCCCCAACTGCATTAGGTGAACTTACCTCAATACATGAATATAAGGTCCAAGCCATTAATAAAATCTAAACTTACCATGGGCTGTTGCTACAAAAGGGATTTCTTTCAAAACTCTCATTTTACCATTATAATAATTAACAAGATGGCAAGGTGGCTGTGCTATTTTTTCTCAGTATTTCCTTTTCAGACTTGACTCTTGTCTGTCTGCAAAAACCCACCGATTTGCCCAGGTTCCTAGTCTGTGTTCTGATTTATAAACTGATCAGAAAGCCCACACACTGATGGTTCATCTTAACCTTCATTAAGTAATTAATCAAGCTAATCAAACTGGCTCCCATTAGAATAGCCTGTTCCAATAAAATGTACTATGATGACAGAAATGTTCCCTGTCTGTTCAGTAAGCAGGTCACTATAGCTAGTATACTCAACAGTGCACCTTTAGAATTCAGATTAAGTAGCAAAGTAAGAATAAAGTTGACACAAAGTAAAATACCGGTAGTGAAGCCAGTCTCTTAAGTGGCCTTGGTTCTGATGGCCTCTTTAAACTGTTTTATTATTTTTATTTTATGTGTATGAGTGTACTGCCTGCATGTATGTAAGTGCAACCATGTTGTGCAAAGCCCACAGAGGTCAGAAGAGGGTGTCAGATTCCCTGGAACTGGAGTTATGGATGGTTGTTAGCTGCCATGTAGGTGCTGGGAACCAAAGCCAGTTCCTCTACAAGGGCAGCTAGTACTCTTAACTTCTCAGTCATCTCTCCAGCTCCTGACGACCTCTTCTTAAGGTGCCTCAGGGAGCAATCTGTCCTTATACACAACCAGACATGGTACATGTGGAGGCCACAATGGCTTCCTTATATAGCCATTTGTAATGCTATGAAGGACCAGCTAATAAAGTCCAAAATTAGCTGGTTCTTATATTAAATACAGTTAAGTATTTCATTATTTCATGGATTAAGTAGCAATTAAAGCCCTCATAATCTACAAAAAAAAAACTCACTATAGAGATGGATTTTATCACTATACAATAACTATACATAAACATGTGAAATATGCTAGTTTGATTAGAACACACTGAATATACATGTAATATTGAGTCATCACATGGAACCACACAAATATGCGCAAATAAGGCTGCCAAATATTAAGAAAATATTTTTCAGCACCAATATTAAATGGATGGACTCCAAAGGAAATTAAAAGATAAACTCAGGTACAAAGTTATAGCTGACTATGAAATAAATAGGTAGAGCCACATAAAGCATGCTTACCAGTCTAGCCTGCATCACACACAGACATCAGGTACACACTCAGAAAGTGATCTGACAGTGTCTTTTACCAAGAGTGCATTTGTGGAGTACAGTTTTGAAAATGACATCCGTTACTTACCACACTTTCCCATCTTCAAAAGCTATTTCCTAATTTCTACTTATCATATTTCACCTAGCACTTAGTACATTTTTCTTTTAACTCTCAAGTGTATTTAAATGTAGAACTGAGATTCTCAAGTGAAATGAAAAGCGACTATCTTAAAGGAAGAGTCTTCTAATTAAACAAAATATACTCTCCTGAAAACTAGTGGCGCAATGAAAAAATGAAGGGGACATATCTGGAAAAATATTCACAACCACCAGGCAAGAACAGTCTCTTATCACAAGAACCTACCATTAGAGACCACTCTTTAACCTTCTGGAAAATCACTCTGCGTCCCTGAGGCATCCAGGCCACCAGCACCGTCACCGCCCTGATGGTGAGCCAGCAAACATAAAGGCCACAAGCAGCCGTGTACAGCTCATGAATTTTGGCAGTCCCCGTCCAAAATGACATTAACCAGCGGCCGGCAAATACTGAAAATAGAAAGGCTGACAAATGAGACATACGGCTGGTAAAGAGAATCGCAACCTTGATGCTCTTTTAGCATTGGAACAAACAAAAATGAAAAGCCAAGAAACGACTCTTTGGAAATACAATTACTAGGTTAAGACACAACCAAAATATAGGAAATAAGCAAGCTGAGTTCTCCCAGGACAGCCCCTCTGAGCTGCTCCAACGTTTCCTTGTTTTTCCTGGCCCGGTAAAGCTTGTGAGGACTGTTGTTTTCACTATTTTTGTCACCAACTTAAATTACTATGCATAACAGGGCAAAGACGGAAATTTTCTATTATCTGTCTGTCAAGCATTATACTTAGGAACATTACAAGTAACTCAGATTTCCTTCCAAACAGTTCATTCATTAGCACATAAATTTAAGTTTTTAAAAGGCAGAGTGGGCACAATAGCATTTTAAAGTGTACTAATCAAAGAATACCATATAAACTTCCTTTTAAAAAATCAGCACCAGACTGGAACAAAAACCACACAGGATATTAGTTTTCTGTTTTGCCTTGTCTTGTTTTGTTTTGACTCAGACTATAGCCAAGACTGCTCTCAAACTCAAAGTAATCCTCCTGCCTCAGCTTCCTGAGTTCAGGGGATCTCAGGTGTGAGTCACCACATTCAGCTAAAAGCTGTTAGAAATAAATTTTATACTATAGCCACACAATTTCCCAGGTATAGACATGATTTTTACAAAATGGACACAATCTAAACTAATATCTTTTAATTAACCTTAGCAAGGTCAATGAACCTTGTATCTTGTGACTATGGTGTTTCCTTAGCAACCTCAGGTTTGGTACTCCACCCAAAAAGACAGCATACCCATCTCCATTGCATTCAGTGAGGACTGGGAAGGACCCTTAACTTAACTTGGGTGAATGAGAGATCCTAGAACTGGAGATGCAAAGACAAGATGGTCTGTTAAAATAAGGTGGAGCCAAAATTGTACTTCCTGAATGAGGCTGGAGAAAACAGTTGGGATAAAAAGGCGGCACACGCCTTTAATCCCAGCACTTGGGAGGCAGGGGCAGGCGGATCTTTGTGAGTTGGAGGCCAGCCTGGTCTACATAGTGAGTTCCAGGACAGCTGGGGCTACAAGGAGACCGTCTCAAAAAAGACACACACACACACACACACACACACACACGCAAAAAAAAGTGAATGCACAAGACCCATGCAAACTCAATCAGACAAAAACCCAGCACAGAAGTGTAGAAAGAACTATGGCAGTTGATTACTGCTGGGTGAGGGAGAGCTGATCTTAAAGGGAGAGACTCCATAGATAGGCTGACTAGACCTCAGTGGATGAATCTGCACTGAGGGACATCTGGGAACACTAACTTGATTTGATAGGCCTTAACACAAATGACAGAATCAGAATGCATGAACTCCAGTCGGGGGGGGGAGGGGGGTGCTATGTGAGGGTGCCACTGGGGAAGAGGTATAAAGTTAGGGTATTCTGTATGAAATACACAAAAATTCAATAAAAAAATTTCCCCCCAAAAAGTGAGACCTAGCTCTCGAGCACACTTCCAGAAGACAAAGGGTTCTAGGGGAACAAGTGTCCTCTGAGTTTGGGCCCACTCTTGAAAACTTGAATCAAGCTTTTTGGTTCAAGTAACTGTAATACTAGCGTAGTAACACCACACTTAGGCAGGATTATTTATGCAATTTTTAAACTTTCTTTACATGATTGATTCTCAATAAGAATTGTGAGAACAAGACTCAAATTTCTATAGTGTTCTGTTTGCTATGGACTGCCTTCCTAGTATGGGTGCTGTATCTCAGTACCTAAGCAGGTATTTTCCATATACCATCTCATTCATCCCTCAATGGTTAGCACCTCATCCAACATAGACACGACCTCCATTTTAAAGAATTGGGGCTTGGCAACAGACCTTGACCAACCAAAGCCGCATAAAGATGAACTTGAATACATGCTTATATGACAAAGCTCATGGTTTTGCCCACTGAACTGTATATTACCTCCAAATCGAACTAAATTAGTTCAACAATCAAGTACTACAAGCCAAAATGATGATGACCACAGACTTCTTTTTTTATTTCTTTTGGTTATTTTTTGAGACAGGGTCTCCAAGTAGCCTCAGTATGTAGCCTGGAACTCAGTATGTTGACCAGGCTAGATTTGATCTCACACAGCTCTACCTGTCTCTGCTTCCTGAATGCTGGGATGAAAGGTATGTGTCACCACTACTGAATGACCAAAGAGAAAATAGCCTCGGTATGAAAAGTGCTGTTTTAGGGGCTGGAGATGTTAGAGTAGCAAATAGCCCCGTAAATTTAACTGGTCAGGACTATAAAATCTCTAGTCTGTTGGAATACCCACCTTTCCAGTTTCACTGGTCAATTGCTGATTATAGGACCACCCCTAGGAAGGCAGGTTCACCTTAAGTTATGCTAAATAGATGGTGGATACCTGCTGTGTTAATGAGACAGGGACTTTTTCCTGCCTGGCATCCCTCTTCCTAGTAGAGTTTCTGGACCAGCCAGACATGTAGGTCTCTGTAAATCTGCCCACTTTTCTGAATTCTTTGGAAAAGCATCATCTCTCCTTTTCTTCTTCATATCCCTTTTCTAAGCATGCTTTCTTCAATGCTTTGAACTGCCCTAGCATCTTGTATTTCTCTACTTCCTTCTCCCAGCCATGTGGCTGCCAGTCAGCCACATGTCTGACCTCCATGCAGGCTCTAAATCTGCACAGCTTCATGGCTTTCTTTCCTTTCCCCATTATTCTCCTCCTCAAGGCAACTGCCAAGATTGCCAGTTCACCTGCCCTGAGAATTTTTCTTTAAGATTCTAACAAAATTGTCATAAAGCTTCTGTTTGGGTCCATTCTTTAATTCTTTTATGAATGAGACTAAGAACCCTCTGGGGGACCCTCTTTCTCCCTGTTTCAGAGAGATGGGTCAGGGGTTTAAGAGCCCTGGCTACTCTCACAGAGGACCCAGGTTTGATTCACAGCACCCCATGGCAGCTAACAACCATCCTTAACTCCAGTTCTAGGGAACCTAAAGTCCTCTTCTGACCTCCTCAGGCATTATACAACACGGACACACTTACATACACACAGGCAATACAGTCACACACATAAAGTAAAAATAATAGAATATTTAAAATAAAAAAGAAAAAATTACTCTTTTAAGGACTAATAACAGACTGACAGTATAGTGGAGCACATGTGCGGCCATGGGTTCAACCTCCGGCAGGAAAAAGGACAAGGAAATTCAATTTTTACATGAAACAAGTAAATGTTCCTATCAATGTGAAATGCCAAATCGTCACTGGCACTCTGTGAACAGGCATTTAGTGCTCCACAGAAATGCCCCCTCCAGGGTGTGTCTGAGGATTCAAGGTTTCAATTGAATGGTCCTTCCTACTCTACTTTACACCCACATACATTGTCTTTGAGTGGACCTCTGTTAATTCGTATCTAAGAGAAGTAACCTACAGGAGGAAGTGACACTCCACACCTTAAACCATGCCAAAGCTCTTCTCTAATTCCCTGAAATCACTCTCTAGCACATTAGAACTAGTTTAAAAGAAATGCTTAATTACTTTTTAATGATGTTGAATCTTATTACTAAATTAAAGCATGAAAACTAGTTTCTTCTTTTATGAAAATTTTCAAAATATTTCTGGTAAAAACACAAAAATGTTACAGCACTGCACTGAAGTAGTTAATCAAACTATCACTTTAGCAGCTGTGACCTAAAGAGGTAGAGGAGAAGAGAAGGAAGAGGAGGAGAGGGGGAGGAGAGGGGGAGGAGAGGGGGAGGAGGATTAAACAAGGAACCATGAGGACTTAAAGCAAAGTCTTAAAAGATCAAAAGTTGCCGGGCGTGGTGGCACATGCCTTTAATCCCAGCACCTGCCGAGGCAGGCGGGTCTCTGTTAGTTCAAGGCCAGCCTGGTCTACATAGTGAGTTCTAGGACAGCTGGGGCTACAGGGAGACCCTGTCTCAAAAAGACCAA